CTAAAGGAAATCTAAAAAAAAAAAAAAAAAAATCACAACTTTACCATCCTTAGATGTGCTAGCTGCCTTTGTTTTAATTTTTCAGACTAAGAACATTCTTAGCAAGTACAGAAAATACCTGTTGCTCTTGCCAGAAATGTGGTGTCATGGTCACTTCTTGTGAGATGAACAGAAAGAAAAAAAAAAAGTTATTTTCCCAACGTAATAGAGGTGCAGAGTAACACAAGTTTTGAAGTCAAGCCTAGGTGGCAACCCTGGATACAGTAAGGTGATAGAGCCTAGGACAGGACAAGTGTTTAAGCCATAAGACTACCAGAGGGGGGAAAAAAAGCCTAAAAGGAGAAAACAAATACAGCCACTTTATTCAAGGACTGGTAAGCTTCAATAAAACCAATTGATATTTTATATTATATACAATATGTATAGGTTGGAAAGGTGGATTGCATGACTAATAAGCAGTACCAGTTTTGCAATATTGATTTGGGTGGGAAGCGTGCGCAAAATGTTTAGATGAAGTTAAAAGGTAAAAATAAAAAAGGTAACCGGTTATGGGTAATACCAAGAATAATGTTGCAGGATTAAACAGGCAGTTGCACACATTTTTACGACCACGACATAACAATATTTACATTTTTCTTTAGCAAAATTAAAAACCACAAATTAATATTTCATATTTACCACTTGCTGAAGGAATGTGGAGCTCTAAGCCTTTTCTTTTGGCTATTAAAAGTTTGTCAAAGTATGTACAGCAAAAACTTTTGGGTAGAGTAGGGAAGGTTTAAGATCCCATTATATTTCCATTGCCGTCTGTTTCCCTATTGGGGAGATTCACCTTCTCCATTTGTTCTGCTAACCATTGTCCCTGATGTCCAAAGTTTAAGAGCGGTCACCATATCAAGAGGTGTGCAGAAATCTTCCAAAGTGGACACCTGTTCTGGTGAAAACGGTCTAAGAAGGTATCTCCTCACTCCTTGTTGAGACTTCCTCAAACTTCCTGCCATGTCAAGGTCAACCACTAACAGTTGCAGTCCATAGGTACCTCAAATCTCTAGTTGAGCACCATTGCTGTAGAGTTTATTAAAGTGTACCTAACACATAAGAACGAAAGGGTGTAAATGCATTCCTCTGCCCAAAGGAACTCTTAAAATGACCCTTCTATTTCTTTCATTTTCATTATGAACTCTATTCCTTATGATTTCTGACCATGTTAAGCACAGAAGCAGGTCCATGCTGGTGTGGGCAGTTTGCATCCCTCAGCTCCTGATCAAAGCTTCAGGATTAACGCATGATGTGGCTGTACTGCTTTAGACTGACCACCTGGGTCACAAGCCCCTGTACAGCCCTTTTTGTCCCGACAGGTGGTGGCTCCTAGCAGGAGATTGCATTTTGGAATTCGGCATACCAAAATGGGATTCAGCCTGAATATCGAATAACGCCCTAGCACTCAGGAAAGTCTATGCAGTCACGTGCCCGCTGAATAAAAGACTAAACATGCTTATATTTTTATAAGACAAATGGACTAATGATTGACACATGGGATTGCTTTTAACACATCACAGTGCGCTTTGTATGAAGGGATTTTACATAAGCTTTAATATTGTGGTGTCCTACATAAATGTCTAAGCAATGTGGACTATAGACAGCATTTATGGAAGTACTCCATCTGAGAGTTAACCATAACCATCGGTTTGTACTGCAGCAGGGAAATGCAGCTGACCCAGTTTAAATTTAAATCTTTTTTTTCCACTTGCTCATCATATGGAAGTGAAAGGTTTCTTTATAAAGTGTGACATTTGTCAAATCTAATCCCATCTAACCCTCAGAGACTTGGGAAAGAGAATGGCTGTGTTTACAGAGCAGAATTTTATGCCAAGGAGATCAGCTCTGTGTTTTTGTAAAGTCACTGCAAATTTGCAGTGCATTACTTCTTAAAATCTGGTTTCAAACAGATACACAAGTAGCAGGCTGGGGGAATTAACCACTTCAAGACCAGGTGTTTACACCCCCTTCCTGGCCAGGCCATTTTTCAGTATTCAGCACTGCGGTACTTTGACTGACATTTATTCTGTCATGCAACGCTGTACTGAAAAAAATTAAAGCTGAATTAGGTTTCCAGTGGTCATGGTGTTTAGCACAGACTATTTAGAGCCATTTCTAGAAGCTTAATTGTAGGCCTACTTTGGGTAGAATAGACTGTATATAATCAGTTCTTCAGACATTATTGTAGGTTACTGTGGGTAGCGCATACTGTAAAAGGCCAATTGTGTAGGCTTGAATATATTGGGACAAACTATGCATGTATTTAAAAAACTCTAGCAAAAATATATCTACTGCTCATTTAATAAGGAGCCAACCCCATTTCATGTAAAAATGAAGATCATAATGTTAGACTGGCCCATTTATCTTGACAGTCCGCTTCTTGTTTTCGAGGATGTGCTGTAGGAGGGGATGTTCTACATATTTGGTGGGCCTGTCCAATGGTTAGTAGACTCTGGGCTCATACGCTTGTTACAAAGTCTTTTTCATAAACATATTGCCAAGGACCCCTGGTTTGCACTCTTACATTTTACCATAAACTGGCAGTCTTTATCCTTTTGGCTGTTAAACAGGCCATTGCCCAGGCATGTAAAAAAAAAAAGAAAGTGTTTATTTTTATGAAGTGCGGTTTAGGATTATAATCCTCTTTAACGAGAATGTATTTAGCATTCTTTTGGACTCTCAGAAAAATCTGGTAGCCTTCGATACAATATGCTCATCCTACTATATCTTCGAAGAGTTTATTGTCCATCTGAATGACCTCGTCCACATGACATTTTTCCGACAGGGAGCCTCGGCGCTGTTCAATATTCATTTCTTACTACTCCTCCTAATTAACTCTTTCCTTCCATCTTTATTCTTTCACTATATCTCATCCCTGCTTGAGTTGCAGTCTATGGATTGTGAGGTTTACAAACCAAGTTACAATGATAGTCTATTTATATCCTTTTTTTCCCTGTGCCCATACTGGCTTTGCCTTATTTTTATTGATTATAGTTCTATTGTTATCTGTTGTGACAGTGTGGAGGAATGTACACGTACAGCCTGTGTTGCTCTCAATCTGTCTTTACTTATCATACGTATACTTCACTCCAAACTTGTTATGCACATCAGGAATAAGGACATGCGCATGCCTAAAAAAAAAAAAAAAGGCCATCTTTTGTAATATTACAAAACGCTGCAGCCTCTCAGCTCCTCCTACCCACTTTCATAATTTACATTTTTCTATACTTCTAGAACTGTATAGAAATTTTAAGTAGTATTAAACTCGCAAATCACAAAAGTAGGGCTGCAACAACTAATCGACATAATCGATTATTGAAAAAGTTGTCAACTTTTTCAATAATCGATTAATCGGCTTCCGATCAGTTGGCCCTGCTTCCAATCAGTTGGCCCTGTTCACGGCTCCACACACACCTCCTCCCCACCTCACGCTCGCCGCTGCCAGACCCGCTCGCATCCACGCTCCACACGCCGCACCTCCTCCCCGCCTCACATTTCCTGCCCATCCACATCCACGATCGGCACAGGGACGCGGGGAGAGGTAGTAAGGAGGAGCAGGTGTGGGGGGATGACAGCTGCTGATAGACAGGTCCGATCTCAGAAGCACATTGCTTGAAGCCTGCACTTTGCCACACATGGTGCTCTATAATGTATTGCTGGGATTTGTATTCCTCTATAGCTGATGGTACATTGTGCTGTATATTATACATCGGAATACAGACCGTGCAGACTCCAGCAACTGTTTATCTACTAGCCTGGAGAAGGGAGGAGAGGTGGCCAGGAGGGAGGGGAGTAGCTTGATTTGATGTGTCCATGGAGAAACGCAGCTTACTAGCACATTAAAGTGTGACTGCATGGCACTGCTAGAGAAAGGAATCACTCTAAAACAGGAAGTCAGAACCAGTAACACAGGGGACCACCTTATTCTGCAGGAAACAAACTTTAAACAAGCAGAATCCATTGCAAGTGATTTTATCAGCATTTGAAAGAGCTTAAAATCCTTTTGACTTCAATATCACTTTTAAGGCGATGAACCTAGCAGGCATAATAGGTAAACATGCAGAAATCTACATAGGTGCACTAATTAACTTCAAAAGTCTACCAAGACGACAAAGAATGTAAAAGACAAACCCAATTGTTTTATCACAGCACAGGCCAGCCTGTGACACTTAATGGTAAAATTCTGCGCACACACCTTGAGGGGACTGTAGCTGTGTTGGAACAGACAAGGAGATTGTCGGGACAGATAAGGTGAAGACATCCGCAGGTGACTGGTTCGATGGGGTGTCTTCAGCCGGAGGTGTGAATTCAATTTCGTCATCAAAATGATCTTCGAACTCCTACAAAGAAAATAAGAGGAAATCTGTTTACTATTTTTCTAATGTTAGGGTCAATGTCTGTGCAATTTAATTAAAAACAATAACCCAAACATTTTTTTTTCCACGGTTAAAATGTATTTTATTCCAAACAATTATACATTTGCCTTATATTCATTAAAAAAATCCTATGTAAATCATACCCAAGCTATATCCAGCTTCGTTTCCCCCTGTCTTCACAATCTTTCATTATTTAAGAATAAACCAAACATGGTATATTGAATTAAAAAAGGTAAATATCTGTAGACAAACACAAATCAGGTAAATAGAACTATGAATAGAACTTACACTATCCACTTTTCCACTTTGTAATATTTGTACAGAGTTAAAAACGTTAAATTTCGTAATTTTTAGGCCTCATTCACACTGCCGCGCGTATAGCACCATCTGCAAATAAATGGCTCCATACACATAGCTGCGCATGGAGCTGTATATTTGTGTAGTGTAAAAACAGAATGGAACCGAGATGCGTCCGGGCAGCGTATTTACGCGGACACAGTTCATTAACAATTCTATTACAAATTACTCATTGTGGGATTGCAAATTGTGCGCGCATATACGCAATGTACAATTTTGCTCTTGTTGTGTGCGAATGAGGCCTTAGTGTTAACAGCCTGGCTTTCAATCAGTCTCTGCTACTTCATCTCAGCATTTAGTGGATGCCAATATTTTAAACATACATATATAAAAAGATCACTGCACCCCAACACAAATCTACACTGCGTCATAATGCACTTGCGTGCATTGTAGTGTATTGCATTTTGGCTTTAACAGGCTTTGAGGTCAGCGATTTAAAGCACTGAAGCCATTCAGAAAGACAACCAGTTTAAAAAAAAAAAAAAGGCTGCATTGGCCACCAACATATTACCCTACCTAGAATTTATATAACCACTGGTTTGTAAATTAGTTATATAACCTAAACCCTCTCTTCCCGCCCCCCCCACCCACCAAAAACAGACTCTACCAGCAGTCAGGTGCAAGAATTAAAAGAACTGGACCATGAAAGAAAAAAGCTCTGCTCCCATGATGTAAAGAGGCCTTCATATATTTTGATGCTGTCCATCAGGCCCTGAACTGCATTAATAAGCCCCTTTACTATAGCAAAAAGAAAAAAAAAAAAAAGAAGGTCATCTGTGATACATATAGGGGATTTCAGCAGCTTCTCATTCAAAACCAAATCCTGCTTTTAGACTGAAGTTGTTTCTTACATTTTAGTGGAAGTACGAAGTCAAATGAAAAACGTCATCCCTTTCTACATGTAAATGAGAGACTGGAGCAGATGTGTAAGACACAGATTTGAACAGAATAGAAGAATGGTCATTGCGCGAACATTGTATGGCCAGGATATCATTAGAATATTCAAACACCAGAAGCCCACTGGAAGTGATCTTGGCTTCCTCCCAGACATAATTACATAATCGTCCAACTGTAAGGCCAATGTTTAAACCATTCCGCTCATTTATTCATACAGAGACATTCAGATCCCACACCACTCCTATGCTTCCCTTGGTGGACAATCCTGTCTTTCTTTAATGAATGAATGAGGTTTAAGAAAAGGAAAATCCCAATCTCTTCTTTTAAGGCCCCCCCCAATATAATTGAAGACATCGTGGACTATGTAAATTACATTTTCATAGTAAACCAATATACAGGTTTAGTGACAACTAACCACCACTGAGCTCATCTCTCATGCATAGAGCAAGCACAGATCAATCGTTAATCTGTCTCTAGGTAAAGCTAGGGCTACAATGGCGATTAAGGCTCCATTCATGCCTAGATTTTATTGCGATTAGGGGTTCCTGCGTCAGGAACTTGGGATTTCAGCAGGAATCCTTAATCTGCTGTTTACAACCGGAAGCTGTCACCCATTCAAGTTAACTATGCTGCATTTGAACACCGACACACCGCATGCAATAGTGTGTGATACAAATACATGCGGTTAGGAATCAATCACTATCCCCTGGACACATCAATTGTGTGTCCAGGGATGATGGATTCCTAACCGCATGTAATCGTATCACATACGATTACATGCAGTGTGTCGGTGTTCAAATGCTGCGGCTGTCACCTGATCATTAACTTAAATGGGCGACAGCTGCCACTTTTAAACGGCAAATTAGAAATCGCAAGTTCTGATGCAGGAATCCCTAATCACACCTAAAATACAGATGGGAATGGAGCCTAAGGCCTCATTCACACAACAGCCGGCCCGTACAGATCCATGCTGCGTGCACAGCCGTATTGGGCCGCTCCCGAGAAGGACAGGTGCTCCGTGTGATTGTATGCAACAGCCTGTTCTTCTGTGCGGGAGTACGCGGCTGTACGCTAACCCGAGCTGCACATCGATGCGGGTGTCCATGCTCAGACGCAGGCAGAATCCATCCCATCTGTGTACGACTACGGACACCCGCACCGATGTGCCGCTCGAATGAGTCTACGGCCGCGTACCCCCATAAAGAACAGGCTGCTGCGTACAAATCACACACCGCACCTGTTCTTCCCAGGAGATCTGCTTCTTCAGCTTCTCTGGCTCTTAGCCAGAGAAATGACAGCTAAAGGCGGAAGTGATGCAATATACATTGCTTCCACCTTTATAGAAAAGGAGAAGAGATCAGCGGTGGGGGAAATGCTGATATCTCCTCCGCCTCTCTAGTAGCAGCCGCTGTGCCGGTGTTCTCGGTATCGGGCACCGCAGCGGGGATAGCGGTGCCCGGGATAACCGGTAGCGGCAACAGAGCGGGGGGTTGGGTTCGGCAGGAGGGGTGCCACACAATGCAGGGATAGACAAGTGATCGGTAGCTATTCATTTTGAACCACAAATGCATTTTGGCACCACAAATCACATGTATTTTAGCTCACAAAAATGCACTGAAGTGAAACATTTGAATGCTGTGGCACATCAGAAAAAAGGAGCAGGTAAGTTACAACCTGTATTGCAATTTGCAATGTGTTGAATTCTGAAAGGGCTGCCCTGCCGTGCATTGGGCTACCTTATCACAATGCACGTTAACATGTGTGCGGGTAACACACCGCAACAGTGTGAATCCGGCCTTAGTATAACAATTTGTTTCTCTACTCTTCACAATCACACCCAACTATCAGATGTTTCAGGCTTAAAGCGGACCTTTACCATATCTTTAAAATAACCCACACCTTTAGAAATGTTTAGTAATGACAATCTACAAAAACATACTTCGACAATTGCAAGCGTTGTATTCTTTGCATACCTTATTTTTCTTTTCTTCCCCAGTCTTCTGACAGTGGCCGTGTTTACCAAGGACAGATTACTAGCTCTCCCTTTACTTCCTGTGACTAGGACATGTGAACATGCCCATCATCTCAGGGGAGGAACATGCCTTTCCCTGAGATCTCATGAGGTTACAGATGAGATTTCCCAGCAATGCTCTGCTGATGACAAGGAAATCCCAGTGTGCATTGCTTTGGCAAACTGAAGCCATTTTGCCCTTTCAAAGCAGGAAGTGAATGCTCTGCAAGTCTAAGTATTTCACAATCACAGCATTTTGTACCCAACATGTTATTATTAATCATCCTACATAGAGGGATGCATTGGTAGAATTTGATTTTTGAGTGTAAAAGGTCCGCTTTAGGATGGCCATACAAATGACAATCTGACTGTACAATCTTCTTTAAAATTAATCAACCATGTGGTAAGGGTCTACCTAAAGAAACCATTCAATTTAGGACCAATAAAGCAAGTCCTTAGAACACAATTATTGGTAAATCCAAAGTCTGCATAATTAGGCTGCAATTTGTGTTCCTTTAGAACATATCCAGGTGTCAGATTGTTCCTTATTTAGAATCCCTGTTGAAGTGGCTTGAACTTGCAATTAATTGCACTGCAGCGCACCAATGCACGCAGCTTACGTTATCACATAACACTGGTGTAAAAAAGCCCCTTTTGTTAATTTTTTTAACCTAAATGATATTTATTTTACATTTTAATGTATACTTCAATCACAGTGCATTGCACAGTTATAGAAGGTTGAGCTATATACAGAAACATTCTGCCAAGCTCTCGTATAGCCAAATCTAAGAAATCAACATTTCATTTCCGCAAAAAAAAAAAGCTGGCACCTACAATTTTAGTTTAAAAACAAAAACAAGCCCGCCATGAGCAACATGCAGTCTTGAGGTCCCCTCCTAAAAATGCTATTTGCCAGCCTGTTATGCTGACCTGGAAAAAGTATGTAGACTTTTCTCATCTGCTTCCTTGCTCTGGATTCGTTCTTTAGAAAGTACTAAGGCCGCACTACACTAAATAATGCACACAGTACAGCAGACACAAAACAATAGAACCAGCACTTACATTATCAGGAAGCTATTTATTTTCTTCTGTTTTCCTGATCAGCGTAATTCTTGAGTCAGTGCCTTGCAGTATTAAAGCTAGTGGTCATCATTAGAGCCAGTGAACTAGCATTTCAGGGATAGCAGACAGCACATTCCTCATTACAGAAACATATATAAATCATTTTACCTATAATATACCTATATATAAATCATTTTACATGACAAAGGATTTATAATTCCATTGAGCCGAAGGTGCTATATAGTAAACCTGCTTTCACTAAAAGTTTACTTTGCCAACTGCTAGGATGTGGAGAACGCACCCTAAAGCTAGCCATACGATGCTCTATTTTTTTCGTTCAAGCCACGGGCTGAAAAAATAAATTAAAATAGAGCAGATTCCTCCATCAACGCCGCTACAAGCGCACTGATTGAGGAATCCCTGCTGTTTTTGTATTTTGACAGCGGTCACCAGCCGTTGTCAGAATACCCAAACACGAAGATTTTCCCCACCGACTCAGTCGATAAGCTGATCATTGGATGCCGGCTGAAAGGGTGCTGACAGCACCATCCACTGTACGTATTTTGGCTGAACCGGCTGAAATTCTCACAGTGCGTGGCCACCTTAAGGCAATGTCAATGTTCCCCAAGATTTATCAATCTAGAGATCACACACAAGCAGCTAATTTCCAGGCCTAAACACTGTCGGGGTGGTGGTGGTGGGGGGCGATGACTTTGCACTGTGCAAGTTTTTGGAAAAGTCAACACATGGGAATTTTAAAAGGTACTTAGATGGGAGATGAGTGCGTACACTAGAATGGTACTACTGCCTACTTTAAGTGCTATATCATTCATAACTGATCTCTCTTATGCTATCTGAATAATAATGTTGCCTGAATCTAGATCTACTTTAAATAGATCTGATCCCATAATACAATTATTTCATATGCAATGATACTGGCTGAACAATCAGCTATTTTTACCAACCACACGTTCAGTTAATTCCAGTATTGTGAAGCATATTAAAATAATATTGATTGCTTAACAAGGTCTACAAGAGTCTCCAAACAATCACAGGAAGCTGTACTGGAATACCTTGCTAAACCAGCTATTCGCGCTTAGATTTTGATCAGCCTGCATACTGTTATGAGCAAAACCACCCTCCCATTTTGTCATAAATGGACTTAACAGAATGTCTAGCAAGGTCAGTGATACTCACCTCCATGATTTTGCAATGTTTGCTTACCATACACACTTGTAAAATGGCTGAGCTTTTCTACAGTTAAAAGCAACCTTGATAAAAAAAGAAAAAGTTCCAGAACAGTTACATGCTTACCTTGAAATCTATTTCATTCTCTTTGCAACAGGAAATACAGCTTACTAGCAGCACAACCAAAGCAATGAAACTGCAGACAGAAAGCAACACCGGGAACAAAGGAACTTGACTGCTGGCAACTTCTGAAAGAGAAGCAGAAATAAACTCAATGTTAGCTGGTGTGACAGCAGTTTTTAGTCTAGGAAGTCACATTGATGATTATTTGTCAATCAAAAGTAGGCACAGCAAGGTAAAACTGGTCAGAAATACTTACCTGTCACGTTTAAAAAATTACAGCCAGGGATGACTTTTCTGAATTAAGCCAGACTACACTATTGGGGCTGCAATAAAATATATAATGCACAATCACACCATACAGAATAGCATCACTAAAGAGAAGAGGCGATTACATCAATTGCAGCAATTAGTGGATACATATACTTGGCTTTGTTCATGCAGCTGGACGAAATACTGCAGCACAATCTTTAAGACACACAAACCTCTGTCTTCTCTTATTTTGTAATTTTAAAAGGAGAACTATGAGATTGAGTGATTTCCACTCCTCATAGTTCTAGCCGACCTGTGACAATGAGACTGTCACAGGTCGGCTCAGTAGATCGGGAGGTGAGCGAACACATACCGGGTTCGCTCACCTCTCGATCCTGTCACGGCTCTCTGCCGTGACAGGGGGAGGGCTGGATTCCCCTCTCCCCGCTCCCATCTGCCAGCGCTGACTGGCGGAACGAAAGGGGAGGGGGCGGGTACAGCTGGCTCTGCCTCTAGATAGACAGAGCCAGCTGTCACTCACGCAGCTGGGCGGATCCCGTCATCTACGTCGGGATCCGCTCCGGCGTCTCAGTATACCGCGAGCTGTAGCTCGCGGTATATTGAGCTTAGGGTAACGGGAGGACGCTAGTTTGTGTCCTCCCGTTACCCTAAGGAGAACTATGGGGAAAAACACTGACCCCATAGTTCTCCTCTAAGGGTCATCACAGAGCACATTGCTCTTTCCATTCAGCATTACTGTCAAAACTGATGCGCAGTTGGCAATGTACAGTGCAGCATGCCTGCAGAGGAGGATGCATACAGATGTGCATTCTGCTTTCCACAACTGGCTATCTAGAATCACATCGGATGACCGGATGGCCAGGGCTTTGCTAAACCTTAGGAGGACCCGTCTTCTTGAGATCCAGTTCTCTAGTAATTAGATGAATGCAATGAAGCATACAAGCCATCACCTATTTCCAGTGATACTAAAACCACAATGAAATAAGCAGGCAGCTGCTCCCTACACGGTACTATTGAACACTGCAGAGAATACTGGATGTAAAGAAAGTAATGGCCTTAGCTAGTGATGACATATCTCACAGCACATGGGAAGAAGAGGTAGGAGGTATACATGCAAAGTTGCTGGGCAAAGAGAACAATTGAGACTGCAGTGTTTAGTCAGACGCTTTCAGGTGACAAAGTACACCAGCTATGATTATATTTATTCACCAACCTCAGTGAATTTAGAGCTTGCACATGGTTAAAAGGACTCTCTCCGTCCCCATATGGACAAAGATATATCACCAAGCACGGACACAGAGTGATTCACATGCTTCTTAATTCCCAGAAGTATCCAGTATTGACTCCACTACCATCGGCTTAATAGAGTCAGGGAAGCAAAACATTCAGTCTAGCTGCGTTAACAAAGAATTGTCTGTGCCCTGTGACCATTTAGCCTGGTTAAACGCATGTAAACACAACTAAACGCATCCAAAATGACTGACTACACTGCAGTTATTACTGTGCCCAGTAAATTGATTACTTGAACTCTGCACTACCTATCATTTTCTTCAGAATATTTTCAACACACTTTGCATACCAGAAGATTGGTAGTGATCTGACGCAAATCAATAAAACGATATTAATTTGTAAACCTCTGCATGCTCGTGCTGCAATGATTTAATTTGTGTAACAACCTAGATCCTCACTTTGATTACAGGCATATATTATTTTGTTCAAAACAGGGGTGTTCATAAGTCTGGGACTGAAGCTACATGCTTCTTTAAAGCCCATGTAGTGATTTTCATACATTTAATGCATAAATCAAAGATGGTTTTTTTTTCTGGTGTTCTTTCTACATCCAACAAGGGAAGAAAAGCATCAATGATTTCAGGGCTAATTCACACCATATGCAGTTGTGATGCAGTCCGTTCAGTTTGACTGCTGCAGCCAAAATATATCACAATGCTTTCCTATGGGCTTTCTTGTGCTGTATTCACACCATTGCAGTCCGTTCAGATGCAGTCAGAAAAAAGTACTGCGTGTCCTACGTTAGCTGCATCTAACTGCACCGGAACGCATACAAAAAACTGAATTGACATCAGAAAAGCATCGCAATACAACTGCGCAGACGCACGCAGTTGTGATGCAGTTTCTGGTGTGAACTAACCCTCAATATACTTTATTACAAGCATGCAAAAATTAACAGTACATTGGTTTTTTGTATCCTACTGCTGAGTTTTGTTGACATGAACATGAATATGGAGCTCAAACTACAGCCATGTAAATGTGTTTTAAAAAGGCACCACAGGACACATTACTCAATTACCTCCACCAGTGTCCTATTTACATGAAGGGAAATGCCTTACGCTGGGTGCATTCTATACATATTTATGCAATGCGCATATACGTGGGATTTTTTTAACTTTAAAAAGAAACATTGTCAACAAGTAACTGGTCGCTCACATACATAAAATATTCCAAATTGGCGCTTACTAATGGTTCCCCTCACTATAGCAATTTATAACAAGTAAGCAAGACACCAAACTGGATGTCTCGTCTCTGCTAAGTAAAGAAGCAGATTTGGTACACTAAATTAGTTTTGGAGGACTTGATCAAAGAGCTTTCCAATAAAAAAAAAAAATAAAATCTAGAAAAATCATATTGAAAATGTAATTATTAAAAAGGTATAAGTAAATCATTTGCTTACAGAGTTTTAAGCCCAAAGTTTAAATTTCTGAACAAAAGATTCTTTTAACATATTTTTGTTATCAAAGTGTGAATTTGTGAACAAAGAATTGTTAGCGCAGAGTGAAAAATATACAGTAAAGAAAATATTTTTAATTAGTTATCAAATAAGTGATTTCCCACATTTCTAAATAAAAGGTCTAAGCCAGTTGCTTAATCTTATTCCCTGTGCAATCTGTTAATTAATAAACTTTAATACAATTGTGGGGCTGACATGGAAGAAAACAGAATACATTTTATTTGACTTATTGGCACTTGATCCTTAATGTCTCGTAATTTAGGCAAAAGGAGAGGCAGAGGGGGTGCACTGTTTTTGGGCTGTACTTGGGGCATAAATTGCCCTTAATCTGGCCCTGGTGATAGCCCTATCCAGAAGTGTTGGGCTAGTTCACACCATAACTGCATCAGAACGCTGTGCGTCTGGCCAGCTGCAGTGCGATGCATTTTGACACTTTTTTCTAAGCTTAAAATGGGCTTCTAGGTGAAGTCCAGTGCATTTGCATGCGTTTCGTTGCGATCTGGTGTAGCCATAATGTGGCAAGCAGCATTTTCTGACTGCACTAGTGTGAACAGAGCACCAGAAATCCCACTGGAAAGCATTGACGCAATTCTGGTGCAGCTGCCAAACTGAACAGACTGCATCACAACGGGGCATCTGGTGTGAACTAGCCTTTAGGGTCTGTTGACACCAGATGCTTTGGGGCTGCACTGGATGCTTTTTGCATGCAGTAAGTTTTTTTCCCTCCAGCACAGCATGGTGTGATGCGGTATAACAGCAGCACTAAATCAACCACAGCGTGTCGATAGAACTTAATGAAATGTCACAAATGAAATATCAATACATTTCAAACAAAAACCATGTGATGTAAAGAGATTGATGCATCAGCACTGTACCTATCAGTGCACACCCGGTTAGTAAATGTGGTGAAAATATATTTAAAAAAAAAAAATACCCAAATCACGTGCAAAGAAAATAAAAAAATTTGCAAAGTGAAAATTGCCTTTCAAAGTGAACAGCCCATTTGCCTTTAGTAAATCTCTAAATAAATCAAGGGGATGTCTACATATGTACTTTCATACAGAACTGTTGTATGAAGTTTTTGCCTGAAAATAAATGCAGGGTTTTTCAAATCTGTTTACACATAACACGCTAACATTTGCATTGGGCTATCAGGACCTTAAAGTAACTAGAGTATCCCTAAACTGGCTTTCATTGCAAAACACTCCAGCCCTCTATCCACCAACACAGATAAAAGCCACAGAAAATTACCAGACGCAGACAAGAACTTCAGGCAAATACAAAGGCCCAAATTACTAAAGCTCTGTTTTCATGAATACATCCTTAAAATGTATTTTTCTTTTATGCAAATAGTGTGAACTACTTGAATTTGACTTGGTATCTGCCTCTAAGCCCTCATTCACATGAGAAACGGCTGGCCCGTACAGATCCATGCACGACCTTAGCGGGCAGCTCCCGGGAAGGACAGGTGCTGCGTGTGATTATATGCAGCCTGTCCTTCTCTATCGGACTATGCGGCCGAACGGCGCCCTACGCTCATCCGACCTGCACGTCCACACGGGTGTCCGTACTTGTACGCTGGCAATGATGGATCCTGTCTGCGTCTGAGCAGGGACACCCGCACGTGTAGGTCGGGTGAGCGTAGGGCGGTGTACAATTATTTGCTAATCTTGACTTTTCCTTTAAAAGGTCAGTCTTTGAAGGTGTTGGTGGAGTGCTGGACCTTTGTTGTGGGAGATCCTTTCAAACATTTTAGAAGGCAGTTCTCTATATGCTGCTAACCATGGTTTGGTCTGCAGCATGCAAGCAATATTTATAGCAAAAGGATAAAGTTAAAGCTGAACTTTGAGGTTAATTAACAAACCTGGCTTGTTAAGTCTAGGCGTAACGGAATAAGCTATAATACCGTGTTCCTACCTTCTGGAAACTTGGCACTCTCCTCTCCAACACTCCCAGACGCGCCCTCACATACCATGCAGGACTACTGGTCCTGCATTATATGAGATGACGTCAGAGTGCAACCACTGGCTTGGAAGCAACAAAGAGGCTTTAGGGGACCAAATGCACAGCGTGTTGTAAGCCGTCTGGACTGAGGAATAAGGCATGTAT